ATTCTTTATATTCTTCTTTGTATTTACCAGATATGTATTTTATTATTATATTTTATCTATTTTACTTTGGAATTAGATCTTGTATTTTACCTTTATTTCATTTTCTTTGATATGGTTGTAAGACTAATCAATTAATAAAACTACTACCACTACTGTTTTATCTGCTTTTCTTCCTCTCTTCAGTGGAATCTATGTTGCTAGGTCAAAACTTCCTTTTTTTGCTTGCATGACCTTGCTACTTTTTTAAAATGTAAGCATTCATTGATTACAAAATATAGGTTCACACTGTATATAAATACGTTTGTAATCTTAAGGATGTAAAGTTTTAGGCATCCATTTATGGCAACAAATCTTGCTTCCTTGTATCCAGCAAATTACTTTGCTATTTTGTAAGTAAATCTAATCAAGATCAAGCAGAGGTTTTGTTTCATAGCACTCCATCTCAGATTTTATTTTTAAGCTGCATCCCATCTTTGTCCACTATTTCCTCTTTAATAAGAATGACATATGCTGTGAACCTCATTCCATCTAGAAGTAGGCTACATTTTATAACCAAAGGTTACTAAAGGGCAAGATTGCCTACACGTATTCTCAGGTTCCAGACGACAACTAACTTCTGAAGTGAAGTCTGTTCCCCTCCCCTGAAATGTGTTAATGCTCATTCTATCTGAAACATATATATACAACTGCTCTGAAATTATTTCTTTGTCCTTCTGATAAAACTCTAAAACCAAGTTCAATATTACATTAAGCCATGGATTGTTTTGCTTTTGATTTAATGAAGAAATCATAGTGACAAGATTCATAGAAAGTAGTAAGTCATACATCACAAGGACAGGGTTTACACAAAGCAAAGAAGCCACATTGTGATCTAATGCAGTGTGAGAACCCAGTCTAAATCAGACTTCCCCAGCTAGCAGTAAGACAGGCTGGGGATTATGGAAGTGTGGGGGAACACATCAGCCCTTTTCCTATAATAACCTTAACTCACTCATCCATTAATGCAATAAAATCTCCCTCTTCGTGGATCTAGCTGCAGTCATTTTAAGTCATCATTTAACAGAACAGAAGCTCCCCATCTACTTTCTCAAGGAAATGTCAAGTATGTCATGAGCTCTAGCACTAGGAGAGTATTGACAAAGCTTCATGATATCACTAGCATCCACTCTGCTGGTCAGGCATGACTCGGTCACTGTAGCCAATCAAGGTTTGGGAAGTGGGTCCTGTACTATTCAGGTTCAGCATTGAGTCCTGTAATGGAAAGGGTTGTTTTTCAGCTGCTCTATTTCTCCAGTTCTTTGTGTTGGAGGACTAGTTCCGTAAAATGGGTCACCTGACTGGTTTTAGGTCTTCCCAGGACAAAACAGACTATATGGAGTTGAGTTTGTTTCCTTCCCTCAAATGTCTTACCTCTCATCTTCTGCCTCTCTTTTGTCTGAAGCAAGTAAATGCCACATCTGCAGTAAAATAAAACTTACATTGGTGACTAAATGGACACCCCCACACAGTTCTCTAGGAAGTAATATGCAAGCAGTGTGCCACCGCCTTCTTCCATGATGTTTTTCAACTTCCCATTCCAGCCTGCACCCCTAAGTGTCCCTGGTGGTCCCGCATCCAGGAACTAACCAGGCCATCTTGCTAGGACCTGGAGCTCAAGTAACATCAGCCGAGCGCTACTACCTGCTAGGAAGTATACCAAGACAGGACTGAACTACGTAACTGCATACGCTTTTGCACGGCGGAACAACCCTTGAAATACACCAGGGAAGCTGGGGAAGATCTTTAATCTGTACGGAAAGACCACAAGTCCAACAGATCAGGAGCGCCAAGGCTGGCGCGGCCTTCTCCGATAGCTTGGGCCTCCACCCCCAGGAGGCCGGGCGCCAGGTTGGAGAAACCTCCTTTAACGCATCCTTTAGACCTTCGTTCCTTCCCTCCGCGGACTATACGTCGCCCTCCCGACATGCCTTCCGCAAAGCCCAGCGGGAAAAAGAATCGCGTTCCCGCGCTTGGCTCTAAAACCGCCGTTCAAAGCAAGCCGACCGGCTGTTTCCTTGCCAGGCTTCTTCGAACGCCAAACCCGGAGGGAAACGCTGCATTCCAGGGCCACTCGGTCCCATCCTTTGGATCGCGGCTGGGCAAGGGGGAGGGGGGAAGGGATCGGATCTAACCGGCTTCTACCTGGGGGGTGCCTTCCACTACTACTGAGGGACTGACTAGCCGGAGCAAATAGCTCCGCCTGCTCACGTCCCGTCTCTCTCACTCGCCTGCGTCACGTGGGATCCGAGGCCGGTGCGGGTGCGTGGTGCCCTTCTTTCCGCGCCCGGGTCGGAAGCGTTGCAGGAGGCTGGGTAGGTTGAGGGCGGGCGGCGCTCGCCGAGAGTGGTTCTTTCGGCCGCGTTTGTCTTGTCTTCAGAGCGGGGTGCGCGGCCCTGGAGGTTTGGAGCGGCCCTGCCCGGACAGCCTTTTCCAGCTGCGCAAGGGACGGGCGAGCTAAGCAGGCCTTTGAGGGCCAAGTTAAGCCCTGTGGGGTTAGTGCCGGCATCTGCTCCAGCAGCCTGCTTTTGGCAGATGCCTCTGCTGGATAGGCTAAAGAAGGAGCTTGCCTCTCAAAGGCTGCGCCTTAGCTGGAAGTTCTGCTTAGCTGCTCTGGTGATGGGGCCTTTGGGTTATGTCCTTGCATGAGACAGGACGCCTGATTTGGGTCACCTTCTAGCTCCCCCTCCTAGCCCCTGTGTCAGTTTGAAAAAGTGCTAAGGACGTGGGGGGACCTTGGAACAAGCTGGGATATGCCAGCATGAAGTGTAGTGTCGTGGTGTCTCTTTGAGAGACAGAATGGGTAAAACATAAGCACCCCATCCTACATCAGCAGAACTGTTTTCCACTAGAGCAAATCCACTCTCCAACATGGTGCTTTATCCTGTACAGTTGAACTGAAAATAGATGCCAAGGCTGAACTCTGTTTTTCAGTATTGTTCAACAAGGAGAGATTGGATCATGTTTCCCAAATAAAGCTCTGGCTCGGCTCACACGGCAGTCCATGTGATAAGGTGGCTTACCTGGTTTTGGCACAGCAGATTGTGTGAATCTAGTCAGTTGGGTTCATTCAATAAACCATGCTTAATTGGGGCTACCGCATTTGGGTTGCAGAAATCTGGGTGACCAGTAAATGGCACCACAGAGTTAAGAGTTGTCTGCATCTCTTTGTTCTCATTTAGCGATCTTCTGGATCTTTGCAGCTCAAATCTGGTAACCCTAGCTTAAACCATGATTTAAGGTAATATGCGAACCCAGTCTGTTAAGATCTTTTTTTGCGGATTTCAACAAGGGAAAGTTACCAGATCCCAGAATCTATTTGTAGAGAGTTTCTTGCAAAGCCAGATATTTATGCTATTAGTCCTGCTTCATAACTGTATAGAGCCCATGAATTGGTATTTAAAACTATTAATTAGGTGGTATTTTCCTGAATGTCTGCATCATAAAACTTGATATAATTCAAGGAGTTTTAATGGGACATGACATTTCCTTATTTCAATATTGTGTTTTTCTATAACTGGGCTCTTCATATTGCGTGAGCCTAGTTATACAACCTAACCTTTGTAGTTTGTAAACCGTGATTTATGGTATAATGCACATCCAGCCTGTTGTGGCTTATCCAACAGTGATTAAGCATATTATGGCTTAACATGAGGTTTGAACCTAGCCTGTACATTAAATATTTAAGTGAAAGGAAAACAGTACTGTAGGGGTCTTTAAAGTACATTCTTCATGTAGTATAACTCTCAGGAGTTGATGTTTGATGAATAGCAATTTGCAAGGGAAAACAATAAGTGTATTTTAAATGTTGGCGTTACTCAGATTCCTAAAAAACAATAGTTAGGGAATCAGCTAACTCAGAAAACAAAAAGTGAGTATTTTTAAATGTTTGCTCTGTCTCTTGAAAACCAAGAGATTGTTCTGGTCCCCATGCTGTATTCTAATTATTGTAATTGGGTACAGTTTCATGACTTTGAACTATGCTTGGTGGTTGTATTACTTCATGTTCCTTTAATAGTCATGGCACATCTTTTTTGAATTAACAGTAGTAATATAATTTTTCCATTTCTTACTATAGTGCACCACACTCATGGTAGTTTACCTTATTATATGATATCCATTCAATCATTTTCAGGGTGTCACATATATGATTATTTAGGTGGTCAGCCTCCTGCTGCAGCATTGAGCAATTACCCTCCTGGTTCTGGCCTCCATCTTAGTTGGATGTTTTGTTTCTCACAGTGGCCAGTCAGATGCCTCTGGATTGCAAGCAGTAGGGGAAAAGTATCCATCTTCCTCCATTGCTCCCCTCCAATTGGGATTTGGAGGCATAGTGGGAATCATCAAGAGCAATAACCGTTGAGAGATCTGTCCTTCATAATTTTGTCTAATTCCCATTTAAAGTCATCCATATTGGTAGCCAGTCTCATGTCTTGTGTAATGAATTCTATAAGTTGTCAATGCATTGTATAATTTTTCATATATTAAAGAGTCCCAAAGATTTCAGCCTTTTCTGAAGTAGAAGTTTCAAACCAGGGTTTGCTCTAGTTCAGCCTTCCCTGACTTTGTGTTGGAATGCAGGTTTTCTCATTCCTGGCTAGCATGGTCATCTGAACCTTGGTCTTAAAACATGGCCTGGTCTCCATGTGTGTAAGGAATGTGTGCAAGGTGGTACATAATCCTCTCCATTACAGGTAAATTAATTGTGTGTGTATGAAGGCTGAGCTTTGTTGTAGGAACAGGATTTTCCTACATTAGAGGAGTGATATACGTCATGGAGCTCACATTTATCAAATTTCTTTTTGCCATCTTGAGAGAGACCGTCCCTAGTAATATTGCCATATGACCTATTATGACTCTATGGCTTCCATACCCATTCTTTTAAGTAGAAACAAAAGGTTCATCCTGTAAAATTATCCTGCAATATCTTTCATTCCCTTTACTTAGCAGGATTAGTTCCCTCTTGTTTGGATTAATCAGTAAATAGCATCTGATTCAAATGATATGTTTATTCAGCCTAGCTTCCCCATTCTGTATTGTTTCCCTAGTGATTCTCCTTAATTGTCTGTTTGTCTTTTCATTTCTCATAACTGGGAATATTTAGAAACATGTTTTTGTTCAGTGGAATAGTCTTTCAGTTGGTTTGTTGTTTATTACCAATGCTTCTAAGCCACTTCAATTATATGATGCTAAGCAGCTTACAGCATAACATAGAATCCACAAAATACGTTAAGTAAATCAAACTTTATCAATATTATGTAACAACAGTAATAATAAATGCATTAAGTAAATTAAGATTCAGTGAAGCCAAATGCTACAGTAAAAGAAAGTCCAGGAAGAAATCAAATGTCTTCCTATAGATAGAAAGGTCTTTTTGTATAGGTTCTCACTGGCCATAAGGACTTGTGACGCTGAGAGACTGCCATTTTGGGAGAAATCAGCATGAGCTTTGGTGAGATAAAATTTGTTTCATTATATGTGCAAAATACTGTGCTGAGTAACACAAACATTTTGGCACTGGGTGAACTGGGTAACACAGAGTCAGATGTGCATTTGGCAGTTTTTCTGAGCATATTTGATAACTATATTGACTTTCTGATTAACTAGGAGTATATTTCTAGATCTGAAGATATTGTAAAACTACTCTAAACGGTTAATTGACAGAACAATAATTTCTCTATTTCAATTTTTTTTTAATTGCCTTCGTATGACTGCAGCAACTTGCTGGGTTTACATACTGCCTTAAGTCATGATTTGTTTTAATTCTTTTTTTTTAATAAGTCACATCACATTAGATCATGAAACATGGTTTACCATTCACCATTCATACATTGCATAGAGCTTTAATACAAAGTGTTTAGTTTTGGTTGAATATTGAAGGTAGGAAAGAGGAATACTGATCATCCAGGCTACCATCATGAATGACTATTGTTGAGCAGATGGAGATGGGGCAGAGCAAGTAGCCTTTATTTTTAGTAAGGAATTTTTTGTTAGGATTTGAACATAATGGGCCTGTATGGTCCTGAGTATTGTCTTTTATGAAACAGTGATGGTACCTTTTCCGTATGTTGCTATTTTTGCATCATATTAGTACTATCAGATTTTATATTAAAGGAGTATTTCCTATGCCAGAATTGGTGTTCTGCTCTATAGAAAGTTGTGTTTTGTGTGGTGTGTAGCCATATAACTGAGTCTTCCATTTGATGTTAATCTCAAATGTTACCAGACCTACTGCATTTAAGAGGCATGGCCATGCTGCCTAGATTGCATTTGAACCTGGCAATTGAACAAGTTTGTTATGAAAGTTGTTGATACTACTACCCTTCTTTGAAGGGTCAAAAACTTATGTATCTTTGATTTACATCCTACAAGTTAAGGGCAATGTTAACCTTAATATCTTGTAAACCTGCTTTGCTACTGCATGAACAGTACAGCTGGTATTTTACATTGCGCTGATCCATACTGTTTCCATGTTTATTGTTTAACATGTGGGAATCCAGACAGTTGTGACTTATTCAGTAGGTAAATCATGATTTGGCACCGTTTGTGAACAACCTTTGTTTTCATATTTATTTCTTGGTATTTGTGTGTAGTGAGTATCATATTGGAAATGGATCTTGCTGAAGAAGACTACCCCACAGAGATTCATGATTACCTTTCAGCCTTTAAAACGTCTGTTGGCTCAGTAGATGCAGTGTTGAAGACAATGATGTCTATATCCAGAAGTGAGCTCCTCCAGAAGGTAAGAGGAAGATGAGAGCAAGAAACCTTTTACTGCTGTTTAATTTTTGCTTGTTCCCTTGGTGAGGCTCGGTCTGGAGAGATACTTTATAAATCAGCCTTCTCCAGTTTGACAGTCTCCACATATGCATATTTGTTTGATTATGATTCTTACAATTCTTTGTTATCTATGCTGATTAGGAATTATGGGAGCTGTAGAACAATGTATCTGGATGGTGCCAGTTTAGAATGGCAGTTGCAGAGATGACTATATAATAACATATAAGAAGAATAAATAGAAATTACAGGACTCAGTGCTTTTCAGCACTGAGTGGCTTGTGCACAGCAATTAAAAAGCAAAATATGCTGCATATTTTTCTTGCCTCTAGAAGTGAGTTCTAGAATGGAAAGAGCAAAAATGTTTAATCTAGATGGATATGTCTTATGGATTACGGAAAGTTTTTTTTTTTTTAAGATGTAAAGGAATATATAAGGCATTCTTTGTTCCCTCTTTTAACCTGCAGCAACAGCACAAGACGCTGCCTGAGCTCTTTGTACAAGTACCTGTGTACATCCAATTTGTAGTTTCTTTGGGGCAAAATAAGAACTCATATATCAGGAAATTTCACTCCTGAAATCTTCAGCCTTTCAGTCAAAAATAAATTACGAGTACAACAGCTTTACAATACAGCCCTTTGACAGGATCCCTGTTCAAACTTGTAGGCTGTGTTTTTGGAAGTCCTAGAGGAACAAAATGATAGATTGGCATTGGCAGCCAAAACTGTTTTTACCTTTTAATATGCAGCCATGATATTTTAGAATCATGAATTGTGCAAAAAATGACAAGTAGCAGGTGTCTAGAGCAGGCTTTCCCAACTGGTGCCCACCAGAGGTTCTTGACTTCATTCCCATAGTCCCTTAGCTGGCTGGTGGGCTATGGGGGCTCATGTCCAGCAAAACTGGAAGGCATTGGAGGAGAGAAAGCAGCTCTAAAGTTCAAACAGGCAGTGGTACTCCCTTTTTTCCAGAAACAGCACATACTCTGTTTTAGCTGAGAACTAGGGCAGCATCATGGATAAAAGACTAAGTTACAGATTGAGAATCCCTGTTTGAAGCTTTTTCAAAGACTTGTGAACTTATTAGTTGGGCATAGGTGAATGAATGTCTTGTTCTGCAATATAGAAGATAGTAACGTAGGCCTACCATAGCCAGGTATTATAAACATTACTGCAAGACATGCAAAATGTATTTCACATTGCAGACTTTTAGAACCACTCTATGGAGTCCAAGTGGACTCCAGTGAGTATATGTATTTCCATTTAATTTTAGAGCTGGTATTTCTTAAGCTTTTTCATATACTGAGGATTTTTTTTTTTGAATTTTGAATAGCTATGTTTACATTTGTATAGGATACAGGATATTTTAATAGGCATCTCAAAGTCAAGACCCCACTTGCTCCCCTAACTAGATGTTAAATTCTGTTCATACCTTATTTTCTTAGTTCTGTTTGAAAGTATGATGTCAGAAACAAAAAGGTGAAATTAAAAGTGTTATAGCTGACTTTTCCCTGCAAAGTGCTGTTGTCTACCTAACTTCAGGTTGTGGGGAATGGCACTGACTGTGATTTTCATCAGCGCCAAGGCTATGATATAATCTGGTGACTCACGTATAATAAAACGTTATGAAGATTATTTTATCTTTCTGGTTTTAGCTAGATCCTCTTGAACAAGCAAAATTAGATTTGGTCTCTGCTTACACATTGAATTCAATGTTTTGGGGTAAGTATGCAGAATAAGAAATGTATACTGGCATAAAGATGAATCTGCATCTAATGGCATATTTAAACATGAATGGTCTTTAATTCTCATATGTGTTTTAGTTTTTTCCCCCTTTTCCTTATATTTATATTATTGTTGTGATATTTATGTTATGATTATTTTATGAGTTTTACTGGAATGTCAGCTGCCTGGAATCTCTGAAACTGAGTGAGATGTTAGCAAAAATAAGTAAGCAAGCAAATTATTTCTTGTGTAGCTCCCTGCACTTATACCTGCACTTAGTTTTGTAATAACAAAAGATACTCTTTTCCCAAGTTTTAAACATTTTACATTTTGATTGTTAAGGATTTGGCAAAGGACTTTTCTAATCACACAGCTTATGTGTTCCTGTATTTTAAATGCATAGTGAAGAATATGTTTTGCAGTTTTTTAATTAATTCTGGTAACAAATTCATTTTGCAGTGTATCTTGCTACACAAGGAATAAATCCAAAGGAGCATCCAGTCAAACAAGAATTGGTAAGTTTCTTATATTCACTACCATGCAAAATTCTCCCCATGTTGGGAAAATGGTTTGCACAAATTTTGTGAAGTCTGAACAAAAATTATCGAGTTGAATATTGATTATTGCACACTGCAAATGCAGTTTTCAGTCTGCTTTCCCATGAAGCATATAATTGTCAGTGTAAGAGAACATTGCAGTACAGCGCTCTCATATTGTTTCATGAAGGGGGTGATATTGTAAACAGTTGTGTTTTGGCTTAACTGTCAGTCTGTGTTTTGACAGAAAGAATGTGAAGATGACAGAGCAGCATTGGAGGGCAACAAACCTGTGTCTCAGCTAGTGTGACCCTTCCATATAGATGGTGGAGAACAGAGGGGTACTATGAATTGCTTCACTTCTACTGCAAGTGGGGAATCACAGTTTTTGTTGTTTGAGGAATCACATTGTTGCAAATGATCCTGTATGAAACAACAAGCTCATCCTTCAGCAACAAGAAAAGAGGCTTTTTGCTGATGTATTAGCTTTATTTGTAGGATGTATTTCTTTGTTTTTAATGTGGAGAAGCTACACTGTTTCTCCAGTATCTTGAATTGGTACCATCTGTCTTTCCTGGATCTTTGCATTCAGAAATCATCTGTATATGTAGGGCTGACATCAGAGAGCCTCTTCACTTCTTCTGTCATAGATTTGATCATAAAAATGTTCAGTGATGTGGGCACCAGTCAGTACTATTTGTTAAAAGTTCTGTTGTAGAAGTGTTGGAATGCCTTTTAAGAAATAGATGGAATTCCGATAAGTGCTGTAGGTTGATTCCGTGATTAAATATGAACATTTACACTCAAGGGCCAAACATGAAAAGTAGTAAGAAACATTTATCCTGCAGTTCCGCACCTTCGTGAGTGTAGGAGTTGACCAGTGTACAACTTTTGTTGTTAACTTTGGGAATTTGGTAAATTTTGCAATAGTGTCTAGGCAGAAGTTGGAGCTAATGGCCAACAGTATCTTTTACTGGTAGGTTTTAGGTGTGTGATGTAGGATACAAGTATCACTATCTGATTGCACCATATCTTTAACTAAAATGCTTTTACTTTCAGCTGTTATTTTGAGCAGGTCCCAAGCCATTACCATGCAGAGGTTTACTGGAAAGTAAATGCTTTGTATTGAATCTAGTAGATGTCTCAGTAGAAAGTCCTTGTGCAAACTGAAGTGTCTGTTTTTTTGCTGAACGTCAAGTTCAGCAATATTTCTCTATGCCATATAGTATGGTACCTCGGGTCACGAACTTAATTCGTTCCGCGACTCTGGTCGCAACCCGAATTGGTCACGTCCCGAATCAAATTTTCCCATAAGGTTCAATGTCATTACGGTTAATCCGTTCTGAACCATATGTATTTTTTTTTTTAAACCACAAAAATATGAAACAAAATAAAATACAGTGCAGTACCAAAAGAGAGAACGCTAACCCTGCTCGAGGCGAATTC